TAAAAAAAATCATTAAGCCAGGCATGGTGGTGGTGGCACCGTGTTAATCCCAGCACTCAGAGGGCTGTATGGCAGTGTAGTATGTCTTTGAACCTGGGAGAGGGTTGGAGTTGAAGTGATCCAGATCACCCACCACGGCACTCCAGCGCCTGGGTGACAGAGTTTGCTTAGACTCCGGGTCTCAAAAAAACCACTATATATAATATCTATATATACTATAATAACCACCCAGATGAGTCTTGTGCATCGGGATGGGACTATATGATTAGGACATCTGAATCTACCGAAGGTGACACAAACACTGTTTGGTTAATTATCTCATCCAATTGATTTTTTTGATGTAGACTCTGTCTTAAAAAAAAAAAAAAGGAAAATAGCAAGTGTTGGCAAGGATGTAGAAATTGCAACCCTCATACATTGCTAGTGGTAACGTAAAATGGCCCAGTCGCTGCAGAACACAGTTTGGCACTTTCTCCGAAAGTCAGACATAGAATTATTATATGACCCAGCAATTCCACTCCTAGGTACCTAGCCAAAAAAAAAGGAAATCAGGTACTCAAATACTTGAACATGAATGTTCATAGTGGCACTGTTCGCAATAGCCAAAGGGTAGAAACAACCCAAATGTCCATCAGTGGATAAATGAATAAACAAATTGTGGTTTTTACATATAATGGAATATAATTCAGCCATAAAAAGGAATGAAGTGCTGATGCAAATACATGGACACATGGATGAACCTCAAAAACCTTATACTAAGCAAAAGAAGCGAAACACAAAACATCACACATTGAACAATTCCATTTATGTGAAATCTCCAGAAGAAGTAAATCCATTAAAGCAGCAGATTGATAGCTGCTGCAGGGGTGGGGTGGGGTGGGGGGTGGAGTGACTGGGGAGTAACTGCTTAATGGGTATTGGTTTTATTTTAGGGTGACAAAAATGTTTTGGAACTAAAATAGAGGTGGTGGTTTCACAGCAGTTTGAATGTACTAAATGCCACTGGATTGTGAACTATATTATTTGTTTATTTATTTATTTAATTTTTTTTTTTTGAGACAGAGGTTCCCTCTTGTTGCCAAAGCTGGAGTGAATTGGCGCGATCTTGGCTCACTGCAATCTCCACCTCCTGGGTTCAAGTGATTCTCATGCCTCAGCCTCCCAAGTAGCTGGGATTACAGGCTTGAGCCACCGCGCCCGGCCATCTCACCAAGATTTTAAAGCAGCCATCATAAAATGTTTCAATGAACAATATGAACATGTTTGAAATAAATGAAAAAATATAAACTCTTTGCAGAGAAGTAGAATATATAAAGAAGAACCAAGTGCAAATTTTAGAACTGACAGCCTGCACAGCAAAGCAAGATCCCATCTCTAAAAATAAAAGATAAAAAAAAATTGCCAGGCATGACGGTATGTGTCTGTAGTCCCAGCTACTCTGGAGGCTGGAGCAGGAGGATCGTTTGAGCCCAGGAGTTTGAGGTTACAGTGAACTATGATCGTGCCACTGTACTCCAGCCTGGGTGACAGAGTGAAATTCTGCCTTAAAAATATATATATAACTGAAAAAAATACAACCAAAATATGGGCTCAACAGCAGAATAGAGAAGACAGAGAAAAGAATCAATGAATTTGAAGATAGAACAATATAAATCACCCAAACTGAATGACAGACAGAAAACAGAAAACAATAAACAGTGTCTCAGGGTCTTATGAGACTGTAATGAAAGACCTAACATTTGTGTCATCAGAGTCCCTAAAAGAGAGAAGAATGAGGTGGGGCTAAAATTTTTTTTGAAGAAATAATGACTGAAAATGTCCCAAATTTGGCAAAAGACATAAATCCACAGATCAAGAAGCCGCATGAACCCAAATCAGATAAACCTAAAGAAATCCATGCCAGGACACGTCATAATCAAACTTCAGAAAACTTTTGTGTAATAAAGGACATTATCAAGAAAGTAGCCAGGCATGGTGGTGCATGCCAATAGTCCCAGCTATTCAGGAGGCTCAGGCAGGTGGATCCCTTGAGCCCAGGAGTTTGAAACTAGCCTGGGCAACATAGTTTTTTTGTTTGTTTGTTTGTTTTTTGAGACTGAGTCTGGTTGTGTCCCCAGGCTGGAGTGCAGTGGCGCGATCTCCGCTCACTGCAAGCTCCGCCTCCCGGGTTCACTCCATTCTCCTGCTTCAGCCTCCGGAGTAACTGAGACTACAGGCACCCGCCACCGCGAGCATAGTTAAAAAGACAATGTATAGACTTCAATGTATAGAAAAAAAACTTGCACATCATATATCTGGAGTCTATTATTTAGAATATATAAAGAATTCTTACAACTCAAAAAGAAAAAGAAAACCCAGTCTAAAGATGGGCAAACGACTTAAACAGACATTTCTCCAAAGAAGATATAGAAGTGGCCAATAAGCACATAAACTTCCTTATAATAAGATAATGACATATCTTGATATAATGATATAATAAGATAATGACATCATTAGTCATTAGGGAAATGCAAATCAAAACTACAATGAGATACCACTTGATACCCAGCAGAATGGCTATTAAAAAAAAAAAGGCCGGGAACAGTGGCTCACACCTGTAATCCCAGCACTTTGGGAGGCCGAGGTAGGTGGATCACTTCAGGTTAGGAGTTCGAGACCAGCCTGGCCAACATGGTGAAACACCATCTGTACTAAAAATACAAAAATTAGCCGGGCATGGTGACAGGCACCTGTAATCCCAGCTGAGGCAGGAGAATCGCTTGAACCAAGACGTGCAGAGGTTGCAGAAGCCCAAGATCGTGCCCACTGCGATCTCCAGCCTGGGTGACAGAGCAAGACTCTGTCCCTTAAAAAAAAAAAAAGAAAATAGCAAGTGCTTGGCAAGGATGGTAGAAATTGCAACCCTCATACATTGCCTAGTGTAACGTAAAATGCCCCAGTCACCGCTGCAGATACACAGTTGGCA